ATGGTTTCACGCAGTCCAGGTCCTTGTGGAAGTTGTGGTCACCTCTGTAGATCCCCCTTAATTTATAAAGAGGAGGACATGATCAGAGACTCCTCAAAGAGGAGCTGGGCCTGGGACATTGGGCAGGATTCATGGGGCTGGATGGGAGGGAGGGCACGGGGAGTCCATCCTGGCTGGAGTGAAAAGTGGGGACTCCCAGGGAAGCAGACAGGGCTCAGAGGTGGGACACTCCAGGGGCATGAGGCCATCCAGATGTAGGACTGATTGGGGAAGGAACACATTTGCTTCCGTGGGACGCTGCATAGTATCCTCTGGATACACTGAAATGGCACAAACGATGGGAAGAAGGACAGTGCCCTGCTCGTCTGTCTCTGGTCCACGGGAGCAGGTTCAGAACCAGGAGCACTGACAGTCGTAAAGCTGAGTTGATGCTCGGTTCCCTCAACCTCCCTTAAAGTAGGAAGCAGACATCAAGGGGAAGGACTTATGACTAATGGATCCCCCACACCGTCTGGAAACCATACACCCTCTTTAGTTTCTCTCTGACCCCAGGCCCCGGGGACTCTAGTCAGTGAGGTTCTCTCTCCCTCCTGGAGTCACATTCTTAGGCAGGACACTCTGTCCACATGTTCGCTCTCTCTACCCTCTCATTTGTTTCATCTCAGCATTGCCCCAGAGATCACTCAGGTTTTTCTTCTGTGTTACCTCAACTCCTTTCATCAGCTTAGTGAGGTGTATCACACCACACTGCTTTCTTTTTCACTCATTATGATTTATTCCCTATAATAAGCTTCTTTAAAGAGTTCAATGATTTGCACTCAGAAGTTACATAGCCAAGAGGCAGCCAAGTATAATAACAAAGATTGATCTGAATTCTTTGCACTGAAGGCTGTCCAAAGTCTCTTGCTTCAGGGGAATCACAATGAAAATGAACAAAAAGAACACATGGCTCCTTTGGCTCCGGAATCTTAACTCTTAATAGAAAATACCATCAACAATTGGTGAAATTGTTTGTGTTAGCATATCATTGAAAACAGATCTTATGCAAACATTAAAATTAATGCCCATGACTTTTCTATAGATGACTTTTATTATAAACAGTAAAATATATGTAATGTCTCAACTACAAACCTTTCATGTTGAAAGGGTCTCTAGCATGAGTTACTTTAATATTTTGAAGTGAAAAAGTTTAAGAACCTCACAATGGGAACAATCCAATACTGACAAACTAGTGATCAAAGATATACTCTTTCAGTTAATGTAAAACAAGGATATTATGAGGAAGACAACTTTCTAGACCGAAAGGCGGTCACAGCTAGGAAGGAAATAATCTATGATTCAAACCAGCCAAGTGGGACTGGCTTTTGCTTTTTTTACTCTTTAAAACTAAAAACACAACTTAAACACAACACACTAACTGACCTTTTTGACTGTGTTTAGTAGAATCTGTACATACGATTTCCTCTGGGATGTGACGCTTTATTTCTGGATTTCAGCTGTGTTATCTGAACATGTTACCACATACACATTTGGCCCTATCACTTTCGTGGCTTTAATGCTACCAAAACAGGTGAGCCCATAACACCCCTTTCATTTGTCTCTAAATTCATCTCTCTGCTAACTTCCTGAAGGTTGGGATTAACAAAGATGCAAAGGATAATTCCTAGGCTTCCCTGAATCCTTTGACCTTACAGAAGAAGTATTTAATGACTAGGGAATTGATCTGGCAAAATGAGATAAGGATTGTTAGTACAGTTTAGAACATCTGGAAAGCGTTACATTCCAATAGAGATAATTTTTTAAGAAGGAGAGAAGATCATTGAAGCCAAAGTAACCAAATGGCTAAGGAGGTGATACTCAATTCCTGTCTATTTAGAATATGTGGTAAATATATGCCCTTATCTCAGGATATCTCTCATTCATTCATTGATTCATATATTCATAAATAATAGGTGCCCAAAACAGCAGTGAGTGCCTGCATGCCCAGCTCCCTCTGTTGGTGTGGTCTATAAAGTCCTTTTACCATCCACCATCTGTGGAAGAATAGACTTAAAAATTTCCTCTGCATACACTGAGAACCACATCAGTCAGTTTTATACTTTTTGTTTCAAATATCAAACAGAATTTGGAAATTTCAAGGGGAAAAGGAAAATATTTAACCATATTTTTTGTGCTGCTGTTCTTTTTTCCTTCCAGATGTTCCTAGAGTTCTTCTTTTATCAATTCCTTTCTGTTTCTTCTAGTCATTCTTTAGGATGTATCTGCTGGTGAAAAATTTTCTTAGTTTTTCTAATGTCTTTTGAAAATGTCTTTTGATAATCCTCATTAATTACTGAAGGATAATTAAGCTGGATATAGAATTTGAGGTTGATACTTCCTTTATTTTGGCACTTGGAAAATGCTGTGGACTACTTGATTTCTGTTGAGAAATATGCTGTCCTTTATACCGTTTTTCTCCTGTAGGTTGTACATTGTGTCTTTCTTCCTGATTTCAAGATTTCTTTTTTGTCTTTACTTTTCTGAGCTTTGACTGTGATGAATTTCTTTGGGTTTCCTGAATTTCTTGGGGTTTACTCTGTTTTGGGTTCACCTAGCTTCTTAAAAATACAGGTTTAGACACATGTATGGTCAATTAATTTATGACAAAAGGATCCAAGAATATACAGTGGGGAAAGGACAGTCTCTTCAATAAATGGTGTTGGGAAAGTTGGACAGCTGTATGCAAAAGAATGAAACTTGATGGCTATCTTACACCACACACAAAAATCAACTCAAAATGGAATTAAAGACTTGAACATAAGACTTGAAAACATAAAACTCCTAGAAGAAAACAAGCAGTATGCCTTCCTGTCATAGGTCTTGGCAATGATTTTTAAAATCTGATGCCAAAAAATATGCAACAAAAACAAAGATAAACAAGTGGGACTACATCAAACTTAAAAGCTTCTGCACAGCAAGGAAACCATCAACAAAATTAAAAGACAACCTACTGAATGGGAGAAAGTAATTGCAAATATCTGAAAAGGAGCTAATATTCAAAATATACAAAGAACTCATTTAGCTCAAAATCGAAGCAAAACAAAACAAAAAACCAAACAATCTGATTTAAAAATGAGCAGAAGATCTGAATAGACATTTTCCCAAAGAAGACATACAGATGGCCAACAGGTACATGAAAAGATGCTCAACATTACATTATTAATCATTAGGGAAATGCAAATCAAAACCACAATGAGATACCACCTCACACTTGTTAGAATGACTACTATAAAAAAAGACAAGAAATAACAGTTGTTGTCAAGGATGTGGAGAAAGGGGGATCCTTGTACACTGTTGGTAGGAATGTAAATTAGTGCAGCAACTATGGGAAACAGTATGGAGGTTCCTCAAAAAATTAAATGTAGAACTACCATATGATCCAGCAACTCGACTTCTAGATATTTATGCAGAGAAAATGCAAACACTAATTCGAAAAGATATATGCATTCCCATGTTCATTGCAGTATTATTTACAGTAGCCAAGATATGGAAATTTTGCTCGATATTTTCAAATTCCCCTCCATAGTGGGTATGTTAGTTTCCTATGGCTACTATAACAAGTTAGCACAAACTTAGTTGTTTAAAACAAGAGAAATTTATTTCCTCATATTCTAGAAGCCACAAGTCTGAAATTAGTTTCACTGGGCCAAAATAAAAAGTGTTGGCAGAGCCATGTTCTCTTTGGAGGCTCTGCAGGAGAATCTGTATCTTGCCTCTTCCAGTTTCTGGTGGCAGCCAGCATTCCTTGGTTTGTGACTACATCACTCCAATTGCTGCCTGCACAGTCATACTGTTTCCTCCTTTTCTGTGTGTGTCAGCTTTTCTTCTGCCTCCCTCTCTCAAGGGTACTTGTGACTGCACATAGGGCCCACCCAGATTATCTAAAATGAACGCCCTGTTTCAAGATCCTTAATCACATCTGCAAAGCCCCTTTTTCCATTTAAGGTAAGATTTATGTTCCAGGGATTGGGACCTGGTGTCTTTGGGGACCATTATTAAGCTTATTACAGTGATCATACCACTTTGAATCCGCATGAGCAGTGTATGAAAGCACATGTTGTTTTGCATCCTTACCAACTGAGTGTATTGACAAACCTTTGGAACTTTGCCAGTCTAATAATTTAGAAATGGTGTCTCATTGTAGTTTTAATTGCAGTTCTACTTTACAAGCAATTTTGAACCTCTTTTTGCATATTTAAAGACAAGTTACATTTTTTCCCTTTAACTGTTTATTGTTTTTACATGTCTGTATTAGGGTCATTGGTTCTTTTCTACCTCTCAATTTATAAGCTTGTATATAGATGGGAAATTAGTACTTTTTTAGAGATGTTAGTTGTGGATATTTTTCTCAGTGTGTGTTTATTGACGATCATGTTTTTTTTTTGCCATGCAAAATTGTTATTTTTTATGTAGTCAAATTTATCAGTTTTTCAAATTATGCTCTTGAATTTTGATCATAGTTAGGAAATCTTTCTCCACTTCTATTATAGGTGTTAGCAGGGCTGTGCTCCCTTTGGAGCTTCAAGGGGAGAATCTGTTCCATCCCTCTTCTGACTTCCAGATTCTTATAATACTTGAATGGTTTTATGTTTTTACACTTAAATCTGAGACATTTGGAATTTATTCTGATTTAAGACATAAAAATGGATCTGTTTTTAAACCTTTTTAACCCTATAGTTATCAACCTATTGCAATACCACTTATTAAATCATCCATCCTTTCTCCAATGATTTGAAATGCTACCTTAATCATATTCTAACTTTCCAAATATAATTTAACATATGGCAGTATTTTCTATTCTGCTGCATTAGTCATTCTGTCAATTCCTGGGCCAATACCACACGCTTATATTGTACAAGCTTTATATTCTGTTTTAATATCTAGTAGGACCAGCTGCAACCCCTTCCACCAACCGTCACTCTTTCTCTTATTCTGACTTTGACTGAAATATTATATTTCAGAATATGCATAGAATCAGAGATAGACCACACAGCTTTAAGGAACTGAGGCTGACTTTATGGAGCCAATAAAGCCCCTTGGAAAACCAGAAGTCTGTTGCCTTGCTTGCAGTATTCCCAGCAGCTTTCCCAGGTAAGTGAGGAATATCTCTTCCTGCAGACCCAGAAACCTCAAGGGACCTCAAGAAAAAAGGAATTAACCTAAATCTATAGGCATTGTAGGTAAAGTTTGATGGCAAGTCCTAGCCTCAAGAAGCTTTTAAAGGTCCAGTTAAGATTCCTTATGAAAAGCTCCAGCAAAGCATATTTTAAGAGCCTCTATGGTCAGCCACTACTCTTGCTACAGTTATGTAAATAACAGGCCAAGTTTAATGGGACTAGACTTATTTTGCAAACAAATAGTCTAACTGTAATTTATCTTTGATAGAAGTGAGAGTGGTTTTAGAGAGAAAAAGATGTTTAGTAAAAAACTATAACACATCCTTGTGGATATTAGATTCTAGTCCTGTTCATCATCTTTGAGGTTTTGTTGTCTACCTGTGAACTGGACTGGATACTGAATGCAAGTTTCTTCGGACACTGGCTACAACTATGCAAACAAACACTTCCAATTTTCTCCCACCCTTCTGATCTAAAATCAGTAAGAACAAAGACTTCCCTTGAGCCTCCTCAAAAGGGACCATACCAGGTCCTCCTCACTACCCAGATGGAAGCCAAGCTTCAGACACTTCAATCTTGAGTCCACGTCTCCCAATTAAAGATCACTTCTAGACTCTTAGAACTGCATCCTAGCTGGAGATCTAAAATTAAACTTGACTAGGGAGATTGCTCTGTAGAAGCAGACAGCATCTTGAGGTGGTCAGTTCTCCCAAGGTCGTGGATCAAGATCTTTATCTCTAATATGAAACTTTTTTTCGTTTTGCCTTTTTGGTACTTGCTTTTCCTTCTGTTAATGCATGGAAGATGGTGCCCCTTAACTCTAGCAACTATTGCTGAATCTGAAAAAAGACTATAGCTACACAACAAAAGTCCCTAGGCTTTCTTGCTGTGGTAGTTTTAAATAACAGAATTGTTTTAGATTACTTACTGGCTGAACAAGGAGCCTGTGCCATAGTAAATATTGCTGTAAGTGAATCAACACCTCTGGTATTGTAGCAAATTAAAGGACTTAACAAACAAGATACTTATCTAGAACGGATAATGCCTTTTCAGGTACATTCTTTGATTTATTCGATGCCAACTGGCTTGGTTGATGAGGGCATTAGCTAAAGAGTACATGTTACTCTCTTAGTATTATCCTCCTGATAGTCATCACTGTAGTCTCCTTGGTGCTCTGTGTTCTTTCAAAGGTTTTAAATGCATGTTCACAGCCATCAGATGGTCTCACTGTGCTTGAAGAAACAGGAACAAGATGAACAATGAGATAAATAGCAAAAGTAATTCTTCTATAGACCTGATATCATAATCTACAAGTTTTCATGGTGAGACAGGAACAACTTTAATGGCAGCTGAGAGTGGCACAATTACCAAAAGGTGGACTTGTTTAAGTAATTAAACAAGGAGATCATTAGACTGAGGTGGCCCTAATACCGCAGTGGCCTATGTAAGCAAACCAAAATCTAAGCCTGTAAATGACTCAAGGTCACAAAATTATAAAGTAAGGACAACCAACCACAAACAGCCAAGTGGGCTTTAAGCCATTGCTAGCCATATAATTTCTTCTCTTTGCTTCCGTACCTTCCTTAAGTAAGTCACTCTCTGAGCTCCTGTCAGTGGAGCGCTCCTAATCACTTCCTATTTGGTGCTCAGTCAGAATCAATCTTTGCTCACCTAAACCCTCAAAATTCTTAATATGCTTCAGTTTATCTTTTAGCAGAACTCAACAACAGTCTATTATATTTACCTAGATATTTACCATCCTGTTCCTTTTCCTCTGCAAGTACAGTCATATTTCTGTCTAAAAATAAAATGTCATCTTCCTCACAATGTTATACCCTGCCTTTCTTCACTAGCAACACAAATTGAATGTCATTCAATATCAATAAACAGCCATCTGCATCATAATTTCCATGCTTACAAGAATACTAATGACCCATAAAAATAGGAAAGTTTTAAAATTAGTTAACATTTGTTTTGGGTCAAGTAACATTTATTTTCAGAATTGCACTGTGACATTTTTCATCCTTATTTTACATATAAAGGTAATAAAGAACTGGGAGGTTAGATACTTTGCTTAAGCTTGTACACTTAGAAAATGACACATCATGGATTTAAACCTAAATAGCATGGCTCCAGAGCTCATAAATATTTAGGGGGATAGAACTTGAGACACAAAAGCACACAGATTAATTATCAAGTTTCAGCCACAGAAACCCAAACTGAGACACACTTATGCATACAAATGTTTGTCTTGACTGAAACCTGGTAATAAGATATTTGAAAGGATTTCTTTTTAAAAGGAGCTCTATGGTCAGAAGTTGGCCAAATTGGACACTGATGTTAAATACCTAATAGGAACTTTTTATGGACATCTCTCCTAAGCTGAAATAGAGCTGTGTACCCAGAGAAAAAGAAATATGCTGAAACCTTTGTGGAGTGATTTGCTAAAACATTCCACACACACAGCCCTAAATCTAGAACATGGGAATCTTTTGATTTCCATCTTGGTTGGAAATCTCCCTGATGTAAAGAAGCAAATTGAAGATAATGTAGTTGGATGGGCAGGTCAGCCCCTTGATCACTTTCAACCCAGTTCTTTGAGAAATTAAAAGACAACTATCCCTTTCCTGCAAATTGAATCTTTACAAGAACAGAAATCTAGAAGTAATTCAAAGCCCACATATCCTTACTGATATTCAGACCTCTGCTAGTCATCTTAAAACACTTACAAATATCGTAAAAGATTGGAACATTAGAGTCAGAACTGTCCTGCATTTAAGGGAAAAAAGGAAAATTTAAGAAGTAATTATCCTAGGACTTTAATAATAAGCAAATATGCTCCAAAACTCATTCTTGGAGAAAGTTTACATCATTTATCAGTGCCTTTGAGATATAAACTTTCAACCCTGTCTTTTCTAGGGCCTGAGAGCCATCTCTTTTAAATGCAGACTTCAAGGATATGGTTCTTGTCAGAAGTTAAATAAATAAAAAAAGAACTATTTGGAAACTAGACAAATAAAAAAATCTTAAAAGTCTTCTCTACAAATATTAGTAAAAAGCTTTAGCCATCTGAGCAGATAACCTTAACTTTTTCCATCTGCCAGAAACAAAATTTGGATCCAACCATTCTTTTATAAATTAGTGAGTTTTTAAAACTATTTTACCTATATCATTGCTAATACTTTAAAATGAACGTTATAATTTCTCTATTTGTCTGTATGTCTAATGCATATGTTAGAGATGTGTGATATTTCTCTACCTCCAGATGGTAAGAGATTTGTAAAAGATCTCTATTTAATTGGCTTAAAGAAAAATAAGTGCTTAAATAAATTGTGTTCCTAAACTCTCAGAAATAAGATAGAAACTAACCGAAATGTTTTTCAATTTCACATGATCTGAGATAATCTTCAGTATGTAAAAGCTAGTTTAAGTTTGTTGGATTAATTAAGACATACATATGGCTTCAGAGTTATCAACATTAAATATAATGCAGATACAACTTTCATTCTGTCTAAATGTACTAGTCATAAGTTCATATTACCTCTTAAAATATTTGTTAGCAAGAAAAGTAAGAAGATTATGGATAGCTGTTTAATGTCTGTTAAAACTTCATGAGTGATCTAAATATAATTGTTAAAAGCAAGTGAATTAAAAAAATGTACATAAGACAAAAGTTTATAAAATAACTTTCAAACCATAATTATGTTTTATAATGTCATCTTAAAAATAGTTTCCCAAATATTTTTAGTAACTTCCAACCTTAGAATTTTGCAAAGTTAATTTAAATGTTGGATACTCTTGGAATATTGATATCATTTCAAAATAAGTTAAGGTACTGAAACATTAATTGTTAAACACAAGTCTAGGTTTACCTACTTTTATCCTCTTGTTAAAAAGGAACAGAAGATATTTGGGTTTGTTAGTAAAAATGTTTTGTGCCACACTGAAAGATTGTACTATAAGGAAGGATATACTTTTAGAAATTATCAAATGGATTCATAAATCCACCAATTTACAGAATGTAGGGATAGAACAGACAGTTCACAATTGCTTACCTCCTAGTTTTCACTGTAGACTATGGTTTGTAAGCATTAAGAATTCTAATTAATACATATAATTTAAACTACTAAATATACTATGGGAAATTATTTCATCTCTGTAGGTAAGAAAAGGTATGAGATATGGAGATGTATTTTTGGTAGAGGAAAAAGGTAATTTTGCCCTAAAGTAGAATGACTTTTTCAGAATGAGAAAGAAGAGAATACAGGACACTCTAAATAGTTATAAAAAGCAGAGGGGAGAGAGAGAGGATTTTACCTTGTATGGTCTAACTGACTAAAATGGAATGAATTTATTATAAAGGTTTAAATAATATGCTTTAATATAAATAGTATGTTTATGTTAAACTAAAACTTAATTTTCTTTTATCAGCTGAAAGGTCAAAGTTTCACTGTTGGTCTGTTCTTGAGAAGAGATTGGGAAAAATTTTTCTGTGCCTTTTAAAGTATTTGCCTAGAAAGGTGATATTTTTTGTCTTTCTAAAATAATTTCCTGTGCTTCCTTGTTTTTATCAGGTCATTGATTACATAAGAAAATTGAGTCTTTTCAATTTTTAATTAAAAGAGCTAAATTTTGCTCACAACTATGTAAACTTTTATATTTGCCTTTAAAATCTTTCATTGTCACTTAGGTTCAATAGATAATTAGATATTGTTCCATAATGATCTGTGATCCTATTTAGTCAAATGTCCTTTTAAATTATCTGTAACCTCGTGTTATTTTGGAATCCTTAAAAGATCAAAATTCAAGATAGAAAAAAATCATTAGAAACCCTTAAAAGTCTACTATTTATGGTTAAGTACTCTTAGAGTTGAGTGTATATTTGTTTTCAGAAATTTTGTTATGCAAATACAACCTGCATATTTAAGATGAACAATGAGATGATACCCAACATACAGTTTTGTAAACTGCTTTTTTTTTCTACAAACAAAATATTATGGAGGTCAGAACAAGCAAATCAGTATAATCCCACATAATAATAAAATGGCCTTATAAACACTCATGGTCAATTTAGGTATGATAATGATAAGAATGGTTATTTTTTGACTTCCTCTGTCCCTACAGTGTTGTAAGTGCTAAACCTATACTTGCTTATTTAATCCTCACCACATCCAATGAGGAGGAGCTATGGTTGCCTGACTTTAAGCATCAGGGAACTGGGGCACAGTGAGGGCAGGGCAGGCAAGTCACAAGACTAAGAGATGAACAGATTCTGGGTGGCTACTGAGCCCCACGTATAACTAGTGTCTGCTAGTGCTTCTCATCTGGTAAGACCCTCAACCTTACTGTTCATCAGGGCACAGCAAACAAACCAAACTGAGATCCCATGTTTTCCTTTCTCAGTTAACTAGGTAAAAGTTTAAACAACTGATCTTAATCAGTGTGGTTTGGAATTTGGGAACCTATGTCCTATTACATTGTAAAAGGGGCTCCTCCAACATTCTGTCCCACTTCCTGTGCCTCTGGGATATTGCCATTCTAAAGTGGATAGCTTTCCTGTGCTTGGGTCAGAAAATGCCTATGTTTCTCCAGCCTTTTTAATATTTTGTATAATTGCAAGTACAATAGGAATTTATTTAGTTAAAAATAGATGACATACAAAGAGAAATAAAGAATACCTCAATGCCCACCACCCAAAGAAAAGCCCTTCTAATGTTTTCATCTGGATTATATTCCTCCAGAGTGATTCTTATGCAGATATCATATATTTATACAGGGATGCATACATTTATATGTTTACACACAAAACATAGGATCTCATTTTACATTTAATTTTGTAACTTGCTTATCTCACTGTTGTGGGTTGAATTGTTTCCAAATCATGACACTCCCATGTCTTATTTGGAAACAGTGTCTTTGTAGATACAATTAAGTTAAAGATCTTGAGAGGAGATCATCTTGAATTTAGGATGGTCCCTAAACCCAGTGACCAGTGTCCTTATAATAGAAAGGAGATGGAGCTTTCACACACACAGGGAAGTAGGTCATTTGAAAATAGAGGCAGAGACTGGAGTTACGTTGCCAAAAGCCAAGAAAGCCAAGAGCTACCAGTAGTTGGAAGAGGAAAGGAAGGAGTCTCCTCTAGAAGCTTCAGAGGAAGCTTGGCCCTACCAACGCCTTGATTTCAAATTTCTGAGCTCCAAACCTATAATATAATGAATTTCTGTTGTTCTGAGCCACAAAGTTCTTGTTAATTAATAAAGACAGCCCTAGGAAACTAACGTACTCACTAACCATACACCTCAAATGTCACTGATTGTGAATAAACATCACTCTGTATCCTATTTTTTAATGCCTGTGAAGATAGGAATACCAATAAAACTATATAAGAGAAATAGGGGCTTCAAGATGGCAGAATCGAAGGGCGTGGAGCTCACCCTCCCCCACAAATACATCAAAAATACATCTACATGTGGAACAGCTGTCACAGTACCTACTGAACTCGGACAGAAGATCTTGTACAAGTGGATCTAAAGGAAAATCTTCACAAAACCAGATAAACAAGAAGGTCTTTCTGTATAGCACAGGGAGCTATATTCAATACCTTGCCATAGCCTATAGTGAAAAGAATATATATGTGTACAGCATATGTATATATATATATACACATATATGTATGTATACATATATATGTGTATGTGTGTGTGTGTATATATATATATGCAGCTGAATCACTATGCTGTACACCAGAAAGTAACACAGTATTGTAAATCGACTATACTTCAATTAAAAAAAAAAGATATCTAAGAAAAATAAATAGGCTAAATTCTTAAGTCCTAGTGATTTTCCTGTATTGATTCATTTAATGTTCCCAGCACTCCATAAGATAGATACTGTTGTTCATCCCCATTTTGTAGACAAAAAGCTGAGGGACACACAGAACTTGGCCCAGGAGTGCACAGTCAGGGAACGGGACAGTTTAGGTTTGTACCCAGCACCTCATGTTCCAGAGCCTGAGAAACTGTCAAAGATTTGTTGTGTAGTGACAGAAGCAGCTGGCAAAGGCATGCATAATTTAGGAGGTCATGAAGCAATATTCATATATTACATATTTATACAAATAGCTGGACCTAGTGACCTTGGTGAGAGCACGTTCCTTGCAATCACAGGGACAGGTTCAAATAGTGCATTGAGATAAGAGGTCAGTGGGAAGTGAAGAATGTTAACAGGGAATGCTGCAAATGCTTTCTGGAACTTTGATTTTGTTGGATGGGGGAGAAAGGGAGAGAAAAGGAGAGAGAGAGAGAGAGAGAGAGAGAGAGAAGGCCTGTGACCAAATGGGGAAAAAGGGTGGAAAGACGAATTTTTTTTAACATCTTCAGTTCCTTAAAAGTATAAAAGTTGATGTGCAGGAGCCATGTCATCTCAGGTTTAACCTTTGAATTTTCCCATACTTCCCTCTTATTTCCACTTTAGAGTTAATGAGATGCCTCCAATGAACAGTATGAGTCTTTGAGCTCAATATATATTTAGCCATGAGTGAATAGAAGAATGAATAATTGTGTGTCAAAGAAATGCTAGTGGAATTTTGCTTCTCAGGGAGGCAGCAAATGGCTCAAATCCTGGTGTGATGTGGCTAGATGATGCATGATCTGAGGACCCCTGCACAGGTGACTGAGATGGGTCTAGAATTTTCCTATAAATATGTTAACATATGGAGCAGTCCAGGAGCAGCAGTTAGGTAAACACCACAGCTTGCTGCCCTGGTGCCATCTCTCACTGAGCTCACCAGGTGAGTCAAAGGCAAGCCTGTCTTCCCAGCGTGGGGAACTGGATTAGGATCAGCACACAGGCATGATGTTGGCAGCTCTTATTAGCTTCTGAATCCCCCAAGAACCTAGAGCTCCTTCTGTCTTTAAAACTTTGAACTAAAGGCTTATCAAAACGATATTTGCTTCCTTCATAAAGATATCTGTCTCATTAGGAGAAACTATGAGAAATGACTTTTCACAGTGCCTGTCTTAGCACCCATGGCTCAGCCAACTTGTACAGCTGTACCTCAACATTTAAAGGGCCCTTGAAATCCCACCAGGTGTCATATACTCTGGGCAGGCTTTCTCATTCACCCCTCAGGACACTGTGACACAGGTATCATGAGTCCCACATCATAGATGCCCAAGTCAGAGCCTCAGTCACCTCTCTAGATAAATGACCCCTCAGATACTGGGTTCATATCCACAATTTGTGTAGCATCCTTACTATCAAACAGAGAAATTGACAAGTAATTTAAACTAAGAATTCACATTAAAATATACAGGAACAATCAACATGTTAAAATATGCCAAAAATCACAAGAGCTAATATCATGAAAATATTTCAAAGATCCTGAGAATTAATATTAAGTCAAGACAAGACAAGATATGAAAGAAGGAAGAAAATGTGAAATCTCTTGGAAAAGGCCAGGAGCCTGTGCAGGTGTCTATGTTTGTGTGCCCTCACCTACAGGGACATGTCTGGATAAGAGGCACTGTTCTATGACAACAGGCCCCTTTGGGTCAGGGAATAGGAGTAAGACTTGAGAGACGCAGGACAATTTCAATTTGTAAGTATACTTGCATACAATGTTTAGAAATACTGTACTCAGGAAAAACAGTACTTTGGTAAAACTTTGAAAACAAAATAATTGCAAACAGATTGGCCAAAGTAATTTGTATTCATTGTATTGTATTTCATGGGGAAATGAAGTAGATAAAAAAATTGAATTGACTGTGTGTGTGTGTGTGTGTGTGTTTCTATGTCCCTTCTGGCTCTACCACCTCAAATACATGCCCGCAGTTGAAGCTTTACCCTTAGTTAATACCTAAGATGGACTTCCAGCCTCATGTTTAGATATCCTAGAAAATGTGTTTCTTTATATCCTAGAAAAGTGATGGAATACCCTGCTTTTGTATAGGCTGCCGAGCCTTCCTCTCACACACGGTGTCATCACCTGTCAAGACACAAAACACTACTGTACAGGCTGCCCACACCACGATCCCAGACCTCACACTCTCTCAGTCGCCTCCTTCCTGCCCTTCACCTGCCCACTGACTGCCAAGGTGCGCTGCTGCCACTTGGCATTTCATCAAGCTGTGGAGTATATGTGTTTACAGTCTTCTTTTACACCTGTCAGATTTTTTCAGATAGAATTAGAATCATTCTGTACATAGATCCATAGGCTGGATTTTAAGGGAGGGTACCGTAGTTTTGTTGAATTAAATTGTTCGTAAGAAATTTTATTTTTTATTTTTTATTTCTTGGGGTGGGGAATTAGATTTATTTATTTATTTTTAATGAAGGTACTGGGGATAGAACGCAGGACCTTGTGCATGCTAAGCAGGCGCTCTTCCACTGAGCTATACCCCTCCCCGAAGAAATTTTAAAATGGCGATATGTTCGCGCCACCTCGTGACCGAAACCTGAACTGCAGCTTGAACATTGCAGAAAAGGAGAGTGGGAGGGAGGGGCTGTGACAAAAACCCAACACCACAGAGCTTTTTGAAAGTCTGGGTGTAAAGGGTGGAATTCCTTGGGTACAGCTATACTGATGGCCTCTTTCTGGACATTTCATATAAATGGAATCATACAATTCGTGGTATTTTGCATATTCGGCTTCTTTCCATTGGCATATTGTTTTCAATGTTCATCTGTGTTGTAGTATGCATCAGTAATTCATTCCTTCCTATTGCCAAATAGCTTACCACATTTTCATTATCCATTCGGTAGTTGGTGGATATTTGGGTGGTTTTTGCTTTTGGCTATTGTGAATGATGCTACGTACATTTGTGTACAAGTTTTTATGTAACTGTATGTTGTCATTTCTCTTGGCTGTGTACCTAGGTGTGGAATTGCTGAATCATCTGATAACTCTGTTAAACTGAGGAACTGCCACACTGTTTTCATGACCCTGACAGCCTTGAGGAGTATACGCAATTAGTTTACTCGTGATTAGACTGTGGTTATTGGCTTTGAGAAAGGATACCACAGAGTAAGTGTCCTCGTCACATCATATATGGGAGGTCATGACACTCTGGTGAAATCACTGGGTCACTGGAGATGTTGACCTTCATCACTGGGTTAATGTGGTGTTTGTTGAGTTTCTCCAGTGTACAGTAACTGTTTTCCATTTGCTTCCTCTGTTCTTTAGAAATGAGTAACTAAGTCTGCCCTGACCTCAGCAGTAGGAGGGGGAAGGTTCACCTCATGGAAGGAAGGTATATATATAGATTTTTTGGAATTATTTGATAAACACAGTTTGCTGTCACCAATTTCTTTTGTTAATTCAAAATTTTATTTAATCAGTATGGATTCATGTATACTTATGTTGTGGGTTTGTTCTTTTATTTCACTTAATGCATACAGAAGAAAGTCCAGCATCATGATTTCTGTGCTGTGATAAAAGAGTTTTGACTTAACAGTCAGGAAACTGCAGAAGAGTTCCTTATTACCACAATTATATTGTCTGAATATGACATAATAGATAATGCTTTTAGAAAATATATTTAATCATGGCAGAGTTGGAACAGCAATATAATTTAAGGCTATTTTATTTCATACATGGCAATCCCTTGAGAAAGAAATGAAGACCAGATAAGTTGGTTTTCTTATTGAAGTGACCACAAATAATTATTGCTAACTTGCACTAAAAATATTTACAAAATCCGTTTCAGTAAAGCAAAAGTATGAGCTATGTCAGAGAAAAAGTGTGCTTCATTTGAAAGCCCATTATTCAGAGCACTGCCTTCACATTATCTGGCTCTGTCTCCATGGAAGGTATTTCACAACCTGAGCTTTTCAGTGACTGATCACACTCTAGTATGATCTTGTCTATATCCAAACAATCGAATTCTTGGGGGGAAGATAATCCTTTCCTCTTGGGGAAATACCTGTTTGCCTGTATTTAAACAATCATTTCAACATTCTTGATGTATAGTAGAAGTGACAAAGAGGTGGTTGTTGAGTTGGCAAGTGTAATTTCAGTGGAAGTGTTGGGGGAACCCAGCCCCATTAATGAGGGATAGAGACAGAGCTGGAGAGGAGGTGCAGGGAGATGTGAACTGAGTGTGGAGAATTCTTTGTAGAACTTTGGTGAAAGGGGAGACAATATATACAGAGGACAGTAACTAGAGATGAGAAGAGAGGCTTAGAGCTTAAAGCAAAGCATATTTTAAAATCATTTATTATAAGAAAACTTGAGCAGGTTGGAATCTTAATGGGAAGGAGCCATTTCTTCTTAGATTTAATATCTGAATTTAGGACACCAGACTTTCCACATGTTAATTCCTTATTTCCATTCTGGAGAAGCCTGAAACTTAACAAAAGGGATGGGGTAGAGTTTGGTTTTAATGCCTGTTAACTGGAAGAATGGATAGATGGATGTCAAACTTGTGCTGACTATTCACGGATTTGTATGTCCCAGTGCAGAGCTCTTTATGCAGATGACAGAACCTGTGCTGTTGGGAGGCTGAGAGGAGGCAGCAAATGATATCAGGTAGGAGGCATTTCCGGTGTGAAGGCCTTGCCTGAGCATCGCGGTTGCCATAGAAACCTGACGTCATTGGGGCGACAGTGAGGACTTTTTAATACAGACTAACATAACCCTAGGGAAAGAGAAGGACCCGCCTTCAGGTGTTTGGGGCTGAGCCGAGGGTATGGGTTCCTGCGGTGAGGGCTGGGCCGCCCTGGGGTGTGGGGAGACAAAGGGATCCATATCCAAGTCACCTCTTTTCCCGCTGTGGGGCTCGGTGCCCCGGCTGTCTCATAGGTAAAATCTGGGGTGCCTTCCGGCCCCCTGAGTGTGGTGTCCTGCCTCAGGGGTGTCCTGGAGCCACTTTCCTTCTAAAGGCAGGGGAGCAGGAGGTGAGACCGGTGACAAGTCTTTCTGAGCCTCAGCTTACCCCTCTGTAAAATGGGGCTAAGAATGCTTTACCCACAGGATCACTGTGAACATTCAGTGATAACACAGGAGTAAGTCCATGGCCCTGTGGTTATTGCAGGATCATGAATGTTTATATGAATTCAGGCCATTGCTTATTCATTTTCAACTGTGTTGTTAGGGGATGGACAAGGAAACGAGAAAAAAAAGGCTCTGATGAGAAGCCCGTTGTAATATCTGGTTGTTAGGATCACTAACCAATCAGTGTCATTGTCACTAACCCAGTGCCTAGCATGGTGCCAGGCACACAGTTACAGCAGTAAAGCATAGTGATTGCTGGATATGTCTCTCCCTGTGCAGCTCCTCATGCCAGTGGCTCAGCTCATATCAGGTGTCTGAAGGAGACAGGTTCTGAGGATCTGTGTCCTGATGGCTCCTGAAGCTCCTACTCCAGGTTCAAGGGCAGTGGCTTCCAGGAGACCCCAACACTTCACATCTTTGGTGGCATGACTCCGGACTTAAGTGAGTTCATAGATCTGAACAAAACTATGTTGTGGAATAGCTCCTGTGAGGCTCACAAACTAGCCTAGAAGTAGAGAAGCTACCTTGATCTCATCATGGGAACGAGGTTTAGCAGGTGGAATGTCATTCCATCAGCAGCTATGTGTTTTATAGTAGCCCTGAAGCCCATATTAGAGATGTCCTCTTTTTGCTGAAAGCAATGAATTGTGTAGCTTGACAAGGAACTTGGCCTTTAACATGCATTTGGAATAAACACACATATATGTTTCTGACTGTATAGATAATAATTGGTGAATCTTGTTTCTCTCAGTTGGATGTGAAAATACAGTTCGTTAGGTCTTTCTAGCGATTTGAAATTATAGCATGGATTCTTGCCTACTAACCATGTTTTTATCATTTCTGTAATGAATTTTTAAGACCTGAAAATGTCCAAGTATTAAATAAAAATTCAGTTGTAAGAATGTAGAATTTTATAAGTTAATAATTACCTATGTGTTTGCCCTATTATAATGACACCTAGTAATGTCCCTTTATAATAACCAGATATTCTTAAATATATTATGATTATAATGTCAGGACATCACCTTTTCACTTCTCTAATCACAGACCATCCTCTCCCTCACCAGACCCTGTCCCCAAGAAACCAGTGATCATCTGTCAATGGAACAGTTTTAATTTCCTAAAATTTATGTAAATGGAATCATACAGGTTGCATTTTATTTTCATCTGGCTTATTTCATTCAGTCAGTTTTTTATTGTTTATCCATAGTTTTAAACTTATCTTTTCTTTGACATGAATATATGAAATATATTTATGAACACTGGAAGATACTTTCTTGAATATTTAATATCTAATATCTCCCAGAAGATTAGTTGTATTTGGGAAACATATAGATTACCAGTTCTTTTGTGATCTTCAGATTATCCATTTCATATACACTGAAGTAGAAAAATCTCCAGAGTTTTATCTTCAGATTTAGGGTTATGGTAAATAATTAATAAATTAGTATAAAAAATTAGAGTTATTAAATGGTCCCAAGAAGGGACAATAAAAATATTAGTATTTTTTCCAGCTATAATTAAAAATTTTGAGCTTTAATGATGATAAAAACCAAAGCACAGAAATGCATTGTTTTTATTTCCTACTTACACATTTAACACTCAAAATAGAATAGTAGGAACATAATAATCAGATGAATGTTATTAATTTCAGAAATTTATTTTATAGTCATTTCATATAACACCTATCTATAGATATAATTTCTTGCATGTATGTGGGCTAATAAATGTTAAAACATTTATGCTACATCACAATTGTTGTATACCTGTGTAATGTCAATCAGCTGTAGAAGAGACTCTTACTACCTCTTATAGATTAGTTTTTGTCAGTCTTCTTTTTTGGATCAGAATTTACAAAAATATATTTTATATACTGATGAAGTACAAATATACATATATTTTTTAGCCAAAAGCAATAAAAATACCTGTGTCACAGTATATATTTTATTCTATTTATCTTTAAACTCTCATTTAGTTCACGTTTTAAAAAATGCTGGTAATGCCTACTGAATTGATGTTACAGCCCACTAATGGGTTTCATCTCCAATAGGTTAATTTCTAGGACAGAGATCAGAGTTCAGCGGTTGCTAATTGATAGACCCTGCCTTCCTACATATACAGGTGAGACTGATGATGTAAGGGCTTATTTTATTTTATTTTATTTTTTTGTTTTTTAATTAGGCTTTATTTTTTAGAGCAGTCTCAGGTTTATAGCAGAATTGAGCAGAAAATGCAGAGTTCCCACATAGCCCTCCCCACCCACACATATAAGGGCTTCTTTTATAGGGGTTTTTAATCCCATTTATGAGAGTTCCATTCTTATAACCTAATCACCTCCCAAAGGTTCTGCCATCACATTGTGGATTCATTTCAACATGTGAATTTTGGAGGACCACAAACATCAATCTATGGCTTAGTGGTTTCATCTATTTCTCTTTGCAGTTCTATCAGATTTTGCCTCATGTATTTTGATGGTCCTCTGTTAGGTGCATACACATTCAGGGTTTTATGTCTTCTTGGAGAATTGACTCCTTTATCATTATGTAATGCCCATCTTTCTCCCGGATAACTTTCCTTATTTTAAAGTCTGCTCTATTTGAAATTAATATACCTACTCCCACTTTCCTTTGATTAGTGTTAGCATAGTATATCTTTCTCCATACATTTACTTTTAATCTAGATATTTCTTCATATATGTTTCTTGTAGACAACATATAGTTGGGTCTTATTTTTTGATCCACTCTGACATCTCTGACTCTAGTGTATTTAGACCATAGATGTTAAAGTGATTATTGATATAGTGGGATTAATATTTATAATATTTCTTATTTTAAATTGTTTTCTATTTATTGTCCTCATTCTCTATTTTTATTTTGTCCTCTACTCTTTCTCTGCTATTTATAATTTAATTGAACATTTTATATGATTCTGGTTTTCCTTCTTTCTTAACTATTAATTATACTTTTTTTCTTTTTAATGACTGCCCTATAGACTGCAATATACACTTACTAAACCAAGTCCACCTTCAAATAATGCTATGCCTGCTTCACAGGCAGTGCAAGTACCTTATAATATCAAAAAAAATCTATTTCCTTCCTTCTATTCCATTCCATATCATTACTGTCATTCACTTCGCATATACATAAGTATATATAAGCATATATATTTATGTAAAAGCATATACAATTAAATACCTTGTTGCTATTATAATTTTGACAAGCTATTATCTGTTAGCTCAATTAAGAATTTTAAAAAATTTATTTTACTTTCATTTATTCCTTTTTCAGTGCTCTTCCTGTCTTTAGATCTGAATTTCTAACCAGATCATTTTCCTTCTCTCTAAAGAACTTCTACTAACATTTCCTGCAAGGCAAGTCCACTGGCAATATATTCCCTTAATTTTTGTTTTTCTGAGAAAATCTTTATCTCTCCTTCACTTTTGATGGATAATTTTGCAGGGTGCAGATTTCTAGGTTGGTAGGGTTTTTTCTCTCAACATTTCAACCATTTCACTCCACTCTCTTCTTGCTTGCACGGTCTGAGGAGAGTTGGATGTAATTGTTACCTTTACTCCTTTATAGGTAACGTGTTTTTTCCCTCTTGCTTCTTTCAGGATTTTTTCTTTGTCTCTGATTTTTTTTAGTTTGAAAATTATGTGCCAAGGTGTAATTTTGGGGGTAGGGCTGGGGGTTTATATCCAGTTTGGTGTTCACTGAGCTTTCTAGATCTGTGGTTAGCTGTTTTTCATGAAGTTGGGGAAATTCTTAGTCATTGTTTCAAATATTTATCTGTTTCTTTCTTCCTGTGGTGCACCCATATGTGTATGTTACCCCTTTTGTAGTTGGGTAGTTTTTGTAGTTATGTAGTTTTTACATATTCTGCTCTGGGTTTTTTTTTTTAGTCTTTTATCTCTTTTCTTTTCAGTTTTGGAAGTTTCCATTGTGATATCTTCAATCCCAGAGATTTTTTTTTTCACCAAAGATTTGGCTCTACTAATAAAGTCCTTCAGAAGCATCTTCATTTCTGTTACAATGTTTTTGATCTCTAGCATTTCTTTTTGGGTCTGTCTTCAAATGTCCATCTCTCTGCTTACATTGCCCATCTGTTTCTGCTTGCTGTCTACTTTACCCAGTGATGCCCTTCGCATAGTAATCGTAGTTGCTTTAAATTCCCAGTCTGATAATTTGAACATCCCTGCCATATCTGAGTCCGATTCTCATGCTTCCTATGTCTCTTTCAACTGTGTTTTTTTAACCTTTTAGTATGCTTTTGTACATGATATACTGGATAAATGAAACTAGTGTAAATAGGTAATTAGTCCTGTAGAGGTAAGGTATGGGGGGAGGGTAAGCATTTTCTAGTCCCATGGTTAGGTTTGAGTCTTATGGTGAGTCTGGGTCTCTGGACTGTGTACTACACATGTATTACTTCTCAGATTTTTATCTTCCCCTTTGGTGAAACAGGATAGCTTGAACCAATTGGAGTTGGGTATTTCCCTTTCCCCAAATCAGTTAGGATCTGATAAAACCTCAGCTTACAGGCTAAGGTGAAATAGTTTCTCCAGATGGCCGACCTTGCTTGTTAAGAAAAGAACAATCTGGCATATTTCAGAATGGTTCCTTTTTGCCTCCCGCTGGAGGCACAAGAGGATTTTCTCCAATATTCACTGTGAGAACCTAGTAGAAATCCAGGAGGTAAAACTCACAAAAGGGACCCCTGATGACTATTTCTCAGGAGTTTTTAGCTCTCAGGCCTGTCCACACTGAGCCTCCAAAAACAGATCACTTACATTTCGGGTTTTCCTACCCTGATACTGGCTCCTGCTGATGGGTTTCTGCTCTGAAAAGTTGTGATTCTGTGCATTTGCCTGACTATCTCTCCAATTTGGGGGGCAGCAATTTGCCTTGTGTCCTCACTTCTCTGCTAGATCTAAGATGAGTTGTTTTTTTCAGTTTGTTTGGCTTTTTACTTGTAGGTAGGATGCAGTACTGACTTCTAAGCTCCTTACATGCCAGACCAGAAACTGAACACCTATTTATTTTTGGATTTATCTGTTTTGTTGCATGTGTCAATAGTTCTTTTTTTAAAATTGCTGAGTAGTAATCCGGTATATGGGTGTACCAATTTGCTTTATTCATTCACCTCTTGAGGGACATTTGGGTTGTTTCTGAGTTGCATTTCTCCTAAATAAAGCTGCTATGAACATTGGTGTATAAGACTTGGAATGAACATATGCCCCCTTTCTCTAGAATACATCCTTACCAGTGCAACAGCAGGATCATATGGTGGATGTAAGGTTAATATTGTAAGAAACGCACAAAATATTTTGTAAGGTGGTTGCACCGTTTTCATTTGCTACCATTAGTGTGTGAGAGTTCCATCCACTACAGCCTTGCCGAAACTTGTTTTGGTCATTCCTTTTTCATTGTGATCATTTTCCCTAAGGTGTTGTTGTACCTCATTGTAGTTTTCAGTTACATTTCCTTACTGACGATAATAATGAGCAGATTTTCCTGTGCTTCTTTGCCATTTCTATGTTTTTTATGAAGTATTCTTTTTTTTTGAAGTATGGTCAGCTTACAATGTTGTGTCAATTTCTGGTGTACAGCACGATACTTCAGTCACACATATACATACATATATTCCTTTTCACATTATTTTTCATTATAGGTTACTACAAGATATTGACTACAGTTCCTTGTGCTGTACAGAAGAAACTTGCTGTTTATCTATTTTATATACAGTAGTATCTGGAAATCTCAAACTCTTAACTTACCCCTTCCCACCCCCTTTCCTCCATGGTAACCATAAGTTTGTTTTCTATGTCTATGAGTCTGTTTCTGTTTTGTAAATAAGTTCATTTGTGTCTTTTTTCCCTTAGGATTCCACATATGAGTGATATCACATGGTATTTTTCTTTCTCTTTCTGGCTTATGAAGTATTCTTGAAATCTTTGTCAATTTATCTATGAGAGTGTCTGCTTTCTTCTTATTGACTTTTGAGAGAGTCTGTATATAAGGCCTTTATCAAACATGTGATTTGTAAATATTTTCTTCCGGTCAGTGGCTTGTCTTTTCGCAGGATGAGGTTTTGCATTTGAGTTTTAGCAGTCTCTGCCCTGTGGCTACAGGAAATAATGATCTTCTTCTGGGCACAAATAGAAGCTTACAGATCACTTGTGAGGTGTTTGAGCTGGGAATTCCATTCCCTGAGCTCATCCTTTTCTTTCTCCATTTCATCTTGAGATAATAGGAGCAATCAGCCAATTTCACTATATTTGTTATTTTGCAAAAATGTTCTAAAGTATCATATACACAGTCATTCACATCCTTTCTTCTTATAAGTGGTTGATTAGGAGTACCCAGTAGTGACATTTGTGTCATATCTATTCCCAGATCACACCATGGACTATCAGAGCTTTCTTAAACTCCTGGAAATACAGTCCATAGTACCTTTAAATCTTAGCAGATTAGACAGCCAATTCCAGAAACCCCAGAATCAATTCAGAATACTCATCCTTAAATTTCTCTTCCTTTAGAAACACTTTTGGTACCAAAATCTGCTGATTGTATCCTTATTGTGTTGTTAATGTTCTTCTGTTCCCCCTCTCCCCATTTCTATTACACTGATGATTAGATTTAGATCCAATTCAGATTTTTGGCAAGAGTACCTCAGATGTGATGTTGTTTACTCTTTAAAGCCTTACACCAGGAGGCTCATTATATTCGATTGTCTCTCCTCTTGTGACAGTAAGATTGATCACTGGGTTTGTCAACCAAAAAAAAATGCAGAAGTCTGCAAATAAGAAAATAATTTATTTGGGATCTTAAGAATTGTAATTTGGGATATAAAGACTGGGGTAAAACTGAAATAGTCTTCCAGGGAAGAGAAAAAGTCAGGGACTTATAAAGGCAAAAGCCGTGAGGCTGTACTCTGACACAAGAAAGGAAATATTTGTCCTCAAGGGATGGCCGTCACAAGTTGTTTTAGGGTACAGGTCTGATAAGTATCTTTAGTTTCTGGCAGATATTCTGGATGCCTTCCCTAGGACAATAATTGGTACATAATCAGACCACCCAAGAAAGCTGTTGTCTTGCTCTCTGTACATCGCCTGCTCCCCC